TTTCCTTGAGAATCACTTCATTATCCTGCCCCTCATCATGTCCTGCAAGTTAGGGTCTAGCATGGGTATACCCGGGTTAACCCGTGGGTGTGCCGCGGGCAAAGTGCTGGCGAGGACGGTGCCCGTACCCGACCCGGGCAAAGTGACATGGGTATGGGTAGACCCGTGGGTGTACCCATGGGTACCCATGGGTGCCCACGGGTACGTGTATTGTCAAGTACCTCTATCTCGTGCTGATAGTGTATAGGGTAAGAATTATATGCTATCATTTGCTTTTGCTTTGCCCTTCCCCCTCCCTTCGCATCTGCCTTATTACCTGCCTCAATCACTTGAGCAACAACTTCCCCATCGGATAACAGAGGGGTCTTGATCCATGAGCCTACTGCTACCTGGGCCTTGAATGATTGCAAGGACATATTATGCCGTAAGTGATTGAATGGAGTGGTACATATGCCAAGATGTCATCCAGCTTGTGGGCCAATGGAGGCATGATGAGTCTGTATGTGCGGCTACCGCATCGGAAAGGCTAATGAAACTATGGATCGTAGATTGCGGTACAGGCGACGAAGGAGATGATGACGACGACGGCATTGATAGTACAGACTGTACAGGAGTGAAGGTGGAGCGAACGGACGAGACTTGGACGAGACATTCGTTGCCAACACAGTCAGCACTCCAAATACAAGTAAATACAGGTAAGTCCTCGGCCCACGGGTGACCCACGGTCTACCCACCCTAGCACTGGTCCTGCCCGTACCCGTCCCGGGTACAACGGATGGGTACCCATGATCCGTACGGGTACACCCGCACGGGTAAAGTACGGGTCGGGCGGTGGGTGTACCCGGGTAATGCCTGCCCGTGCCAGACCCTACTGCAAGTGTTGGAAAAAAAGTTCGCCGTCTTCAGCGGCTACCCGATTACTCAAGAGAAATTTAGGGAGTTCGTCCGCAGCCTTCCTGTGCCCCTTTGTCGCGCATACCCATGAGTACAGCAGTTGGCGCAGAAAACTTTCCTCGCAGCAGCGGAAATATCTACCGAGGATAACAGGTTAGGTGGCACTACGCCTTCTGGCATTCTTCACTCGCGGTCTTCCCCGGCTCGCTAGTGATGGCGAGCCAAGTATAACTAAGGATGGAATGACGCACATATTCTTCGCAACCCGCTATGTACCGTATGATCGACCATCTCTGCTGGACGTGTCGCACCCGGATAGCGAGCCCTTGCGGATCGAAACGGAGAAGAACCGAGCCATGTTGAACAAGTGGAAGGAGATCAATGAGAGCGTCGGTGGCAAGTTCGACCGCGACATGGTCACGTTCGGGATCACAAAGGAGTGTGTCCGCTATATTCGGATGTTATACTCATCCTCTCTTTACTTTTGAATATCACTGGCTTCACAGCCCACCCGCCATCAGTGTCTCTGGCATAGGCCATCGAGTTCGTCCCACATACTGTCTGGATTTTGCGATGAAGTGGTACTACTTGCAGGAATAGGATGGAGCGTAGTTCACATCGATTGCATGCCTATGTCGTCTGTAGATTAGTCTTCTGTTCAGTACTGTCGTTTCGTTGAACCAATATCCTGCACACGTGCAACACGCGTTTCTCATACTAGTCGACAATCCACATCGTATCGCATTGCATAAGCTTAAGAACAATCATTGTAGCATACGTATGAGGATGTGGAAATACCCTAGGTCATATGATACTTATAAAGGTCGTCCATAGATGAGCGAAAACAAATCGATATATGATAAGCGCCAAATAAGATAAATTACTGAATTTGACCTGCACGCTGCTCAGCCTCGGGCGCATGGACCCATGCAACCTGAGAACAAGCAGTCAGCAACCCCATCCACTCCATCGCGGACATGACTTACCGTCTGGTCGAACTCGGCATACGAATCCATCTGCTGCTTGCGGAGCTTGTTGTATCCACTGACGAGAGTCGCGAGCTTGCTTTCCTCAGCGCGCCTCGCAGCCACAGCACGCTCAAGCCCGTCTTGCAGCTCGCGGATCCTCGCCGTAGCTTCACCCAGGTCCTTCTCCATAGCAGCAGAACGAGCGGTCGCTGCTTCCAGCTCCGAACGCGTTGAGTCCAAGTCGGCGTAGAGTTCCTTGACGTGCGACTCAGATTTGACGCGAGCTGCACGAGTCACTCCCAGTTGGGCCTCGAGGTCCTTCGCCTCGCGCTGCGTTGACTCCAAGGAAAACCGCAGAGAAACGATCTCGGCCTCATAGCGGGAAGCATCCGCTGCTTTCGCGAGCTCCACCTCTTGAATCTTGGAGACAAGCTCCGCCTCGCGAGCCTGAGAAGCGGCAAGCTCGGTCGACAGCCTCTCGATTTCCGAACTTTTCCCGTCGAGCTCAAGGAGGCGCTGAGTGTTGGCGGCCTCGAGCTGTTCCACGGCCTCCATGAGCTGCTGCTTCGCCTTCTGGGTTACTTCGATTTCCCGGCTCAATGCCGCCGAGTGCTCCTCGCCATTCTGGAGCCGGGCGCGCATCTCATCCAGTGTGAGCTCAAGCTCGGACATGTGGATCTTGCTCCGGCTCAGCTCAGACTGGAGGGCAGAGACGTCTTCCTGTAGTATGTTTTCAGAAGCCTGGAGGGCAGCGATAGCATCGTTCTTCTCCGTGAGTTCTGTGTGCAGGTCCTGAACGGAAGAGTTGGCATCTGACAGGTCAACCTGCAGACTGTTGACACAGCCGCGCGACGCCTCAAGCTGTTGCTCCATGTCAATGGCAGAGGCCTCCAGAGAAGCCACTTGGATCTTCAGGCTCTCGACTTCTTGCCTGTAGCGCGAGATCTCGGCGTCATTCTGATGCACTTCCCGGATGTGGGCGTCGCGGGCCTCACACAACCGTTGCTCAAGTTCAGCCTTGTTTGCCGCCAGGTCGGTCGTTTCAGCTCGTAGCGCAGTAATGGTCTCCTCCGATGCATGCACTCGCGAGGACAAAGTAGCAATCTCGGACTCCTTCGTATTGAGCTCGTCGCGAGCACCGACCAGCTCGGCCAGGACGGCAGACAGTTCAGACGTGAGAGACAACTTATCTTGCGTCAGGCCACTGATAGTTTTGTCCTTCTCCGCCAAAATCTTCTCGAGTTCTACTTCATGCAAGCGCAGGACAGCAGAAGATTGCTCAAGGGACGCCAGGTTGTCATGGAGAGACGCTATCTCCTTATCCTTGGACGCCAGGGTAGTGTCCTTGGAAGCCGCCAGCTCCTTCTCAGAGCTCAACTCGGCCAAGAGGTCTGCAATACGCTGATCTCTCTCTGACATGATCGCCTGTGTCGCTTTCTTCTCCAGGTCAAGCTGGCTAGTCACCGCCCGCAATTCAGATGCACGAGATTCAGATACTTGATCCAAGGCCGCAAGCTGCAATACGAGTTAGAGGGTACATCTCCCGTGAATTGTGGGCTTCATACCTTCTCCTGATACTCAGCATCCAACGTCGCCCGAAGCTTTGCAAGCACCGCCATCTGAGCCTTTTCTTGCATGCCTCGAGGAGACCACTCGGGCGTCAACAAGGACTTCGCATTCCCGCCGTCCTTGCCAAGGCCGCTGACTTCGTCCGGCTCTGGCACAAGAGTGTCGCCCTCGTCATCATAGGTCATACTCGTACTATCGTACGCTGGCTCCGGTTCGGGCGTCCCAGACGTACTGGGCGCAGGCGTGGGCTGCTTGCTCAGCTGGGATATGAAGGAGCCAGATTGAGTGCGGACAAGTCCGTCCATCGCCCTCGGGCGATACGCGGAGACGGAAGAAACGGGCGGTGTGTCGGCACGAGGAGGTTCCGGTATACTGTGAAATGTGTCAGCGTTATCATAAGTAGGATGCCGACGAGACGTACAATGAGGGTCCGGGAGAGGCTGCTCGGCTGATGCTGTCGCCATGCATGGCTGCACCAATCGCCGCAGACGCAGACTTCACTTCATCGAGCTCCTTCCGGACGGCCTCGATCTCCTGTTCCTTGGCACGAAGTTCTTCACGGAGGCGCCGCGATTCTTCTGTCTCCTCATCATGGGTGTGGGACTGCAAATCGTTCATAGCTTGAGAGTGAGCTTCTTGAAGGTTGCGCAGTTGCTGCAGCAACTGGAAAGAACCGGTGAGTGTCGGTGGAACAAAAGGCAAAGGATTCCTTACCTCCGCCCTGCTCATCTGCGACGGCGGCCTTCGTCGTCCGCTAGACCTCCTCCGCCTCTTACCCCTGAAGGAATCGTCAACCTCACTGAGTACTTCATCCTCTGAGTCCACAGGGTCATGGCCACCAGCGAACTTCCTGCGCTTAGTACCACGCGTGAAGTGTTCTGATACCGATCTCCAGACTTCATCCTCCAGCAAAGGACAATCTGCATGGCTTGATGCGGCAAACTGTCGTCGGGCATCGGCGATCCTAGATAGGGGTGAGGATCTGTAGCCGAAGTACAACAACGCATGGACGTACGCTTTCTTTGCCGCAGGCGTCAAGGCTACATTGCCATTTGAGCCGGACGCCTCGATGGCCCCCTTATCCTCCTAAGAAGAGTATGAGCGAAGCCACGCTTCTTCAAGGCGGTCCACCTACCAGCTTCTCGACAGTGCGTTTCACCCAGCTGGACCACTGTGGCCCAAGCTTATCCTTCTTGGTTTCTGCCCTCTTGCGAACTGAGGATAAGGAGTGAGACAAGGCGTGACAGGAGTCATCTCTTTACCCTACCTTCAGCCCGCAGTGTGGCATGGTGCACGGCATGTTTTCTGTGCTCTTGCTGAGCATGAGATAACGCACTCAGTACACCTTAAGCGACGATTATCAGCATCCTGTCGGAGACATTCAGCTCCTGCGCGTCGACGCACGTTCCGCATATGTATACTTGGCCGTCTTCTTCGTCTTGCTAGCTACCATGATTTACGTGTTCAAGTATCGCAAACTTATGTGTTACGTTGAAGAAAGCTTCGATATGTGTCGCCGCTCTCTTGAGGTGTCGCAGTAGGATGTGGTGGAAACAGTAGAAGATTCACGAAAAGGGGTCGGGACCGCTCCACACTAATGACACGCGGTGGCTGCGCTAATGAGTCGTGGTCGGCGCGTGCTATCACGTGCACGGTACCGTATTTCTCGCGAGTCATTAGACCGTGAGTAAAACATACCGTTCGTGGTCGTATGTCTAACAATCAGTATGTCTAGTATTTGATGCCTAAAAGTATCTACACAGGCACCACCGCTCTTACAGGAGCATCCTCCCAGCCCATCGAGGCATAGGAATACACTCCCGTACATTTTCTATCCCGCTGATCCAACTGATAAGCCGCTCGAAGCCCATCCCAAAGCCCCCATGCGGCGCTCCTCCGAATTTACGCAACTCCAAATACCAGCGGTAGGCTTCAGCATCGAGCTTGTGGTACGCCAGGGCCCGCTTCAGAAGGTCCAGACGTTCCTCGCGCAACGAACCGCCTACCAGTTCCCCGACGTGCGGAACCAGCAGGTCGAAGCACGCCACGGTCTTTCCGTCGTCGTTGAGCCGCATGTAGAACGGCTTGAGCTCTATTGGGTAGTCAGTGACGAACACGGGTCCCCCGACAAGTGTCTCTGCTAGCCATTTCTCGTGTTCGCTTTGGAGTGGTTTTCCCCAAGCAGGTTTATACTGGAAGCCTTGTCCTGATTTAGCTAGTTCCTGGACAGCAGTTGCGTAGGAGATCCGTGGCCAAGCTCGACTGGCGTCCGCCGCAGACCTCAGTGCTTCGATACGAGACAGCTCAGAGTCTTTAGCGAAGACCTCCATATCTTGACTAGCCAAAGCTGTATTCACGACGGCCTTCATAGCAGCCTCCACAACCCGGCACACGTCGTCGACGGACTGGGTGAATGCCCACTCCGCTTCCAACATCCAGAACTCAGCCAAATGCCGCGCTGTCTGGGAAGGCTCGGCGCGGAAGCAAGGCGAGAGCGTGTAGACACGGGATATCGCGGTGGCCAAAGCTTCGAGGTGCAACTGCGAGGACACGGTCAGATAAGAGGGCTTCGAGAAGAACTCTTCGGTCCGCGAAGGCTCCCCAGCAGATGCCGGGTGGATGGAAGGGACTTGAGCTATTCGGAAGGCCTCCCCTGCGCCTTCACAGTCGTTCGAAGTCAAGATGGGTGTATGAACGGAGTGGAAGCCCTCCCTCTGTTATGGATCCTAAGCTTACTATTGGGTAAAACCACTGTTCCCGTACCTTAAAGAAGTCGTGGATGGCTGTCTTGGACGTGTCGCGTAATCTAAGCATGGCAGCTATGGAGTCCGTACGCGCTCGAAGATGACAGTTATCCCGTAGGTACTCTACGGACAACGCTTGCTTTTGGATGGGATATATCTGAACGGGAGTGAGTATATTCATATGACTCGTAAGATACGAACGCACCTCGGGATCGCATTCTCCTATGACCTCCCCTTCATCGACCTGTAGTTCCTTCGACTGTCCTTTGCCTGGGCTATCACATAGTTGTCCTGTGAGACTGACGCAAGCCCCATTAGTTAACCTTCATTCCCTGGTCAGCGGCTAAGATGAATGTATTTGAAAGTCCACCGGACCTCTTCGCCAATTCACCGCTCCGGAAGACAGCTTGCAAGCCACGGGCAGAGCTGCCATCAGTTATGACTGCGAACGAGACATTTTTCTGCCGGCGTATGGACTTCACCCAGCCATTGACGCGTACGGATGAAGGCGTATGTGTACTGGACCGCAGGAGGTCGTAGATCGTGGGCGGCAAGCAAGAGGTTGAGGCGAACCGTCGAAGAAACATGTCCTAAGTCTGGCAGCATATTTCGCGCCTTTTCCGCTCTCGTGAGCTACTTTCGACTACTCATGACTCGTCTTTCAATTGCTATCACAGTGGTTCTGAATCTCTAACAGTACGTTCACAAGATAATCCTCCGCTATGGACCGGTGTCGAAGTTTCGGGGGGCATCGACGTTGGCTGTACAATTAGTTTGCGGACCAGATACGACCTTTGCAAGCTCTGTCCATCCAACGTACATATGCAATCAGAGCATTATATTGCACAGTCTGTTGAGATGCAACCGGACATTACAAAGTGAAATGAAATGGCTCACAAGTCCGTTGTTAGCCAAAGTAGTCGATACAAACGTACGCGTTTTAGAGGAGAGACTCCTTCGAAATTCCATACAATCACCGTCCCCTGCCACGGCCCCTTCCGCGAACACGACCCCGGTCCCCTCTGCCTCGTCCACGTCCCCGCGCGTCGTCCCTCTTCCTGGCCTTGGGTTTAGGCGCATCGTCGACTAGAAGGGTATCGACGGGAAGGGCGTCTGGAAGAATGAAGTAACGGATGTTGTTTCCGCGGATGGAGAGTGAGTCGAGGGTTGTCGGTTCACGGTTGCGAGCGGTCATCTTAACCGTCTTCAGATGTGTGTTCATCTGCATGTCCACGCCTGCACCATGAGGCATGCTCGATGAGAGCTATTGGGAAATACGAGAGACAACGTACCAGTGATCGTCCCGTGCACGATAGACCCATTTTTGAGCTCTATGGTCACTGTCTCATTGTTCAATTTCATCAAAAATCTAAGAGAAGGGAATGAGCATACGAACAGTTTGATCATAACAAGCGCCTGCCCCGCGTGCTCGGAAGGACTGCAGATGCGCACTGCGTGGCGTACATATCGTATAATACTCACCTGACGAGCTTCATTTTGGCACAAATAACCCCTTACCAAGGGGGAGTGTTCGCTATTGAAGACGGTGCAGAGCAGGCGAGGTATGGTCGGAGTTCGAAACCGAACAGGCGAAGCGCACAGGACGCGCTTGTTCTTCGCTTCGACAAGTCCACTTGGGACGGCAGACATCTCCCCAGTGCCCACCAGTGCCTAAGGTATGCTGGTGTGCTGCTGACTTCAGATCGACTATCTACGGAGCACATTATACGCGTTTTACGTGTCGTTTCGATCCCTGGAACCGGGATCGTAACTTCGCTCATGTACACTCAGCCGACCGACTTGTGGAGGAAATCACGACGAAATACTACTTTTCTGCCATTTGTCAGGACGAGCCCAAGCGTCACTGTATTTTATTGCTTAGCGTGAAGCAAGAGGGGTACATTCTGGCTCCGGCTAGGAGTAAATCTATTGTATGTGCAGCGACCCCGTGGCGTACTGCGAGCATCGCAGCAGTCTATTGTGAAGGTCCTGTGCGTGTTGTCGTTTGCTATGTCTCAGCTGCGTCAATGTTCAGTAGCCACGGCACGCCGCGCAATGTTTGATTTGAATTATTGTGATTTGACCACTGGACCGCATGTAATGTCTCAGTCACAATGATCTACTTCAACTGCTCGTCTGAGGTGAGATTCTAGTCTTGATTCAAAAAGAGAAGTGACTTACGTTCATAATAAGTTCGTATTGTCTTGACACAATGACCTCTGCAGCTGCGCCTATATCCTGTAACGAAAACGATATCGGTAATTGTCAGAGCATCCGAGACATCTGTCGTACCTATGGCGGCAACGCCTCCGATAGCTGCAATATAAGACGGCCCAGCTCCTGCTCCAGCAACAGCAGGCCGTTTTGGCTGTCTATCAGCCTTTCCCGTACCTCCCTCTCCTCTACACGCTCTCGCGTTCTACCGAGGTACCCTCGGACGTCAGCCAGCCTCTCTTGCAAATGAGTCATTTGTGCCACAGGTGCAAGCGGCGGGCTATTGTCCCACTCGTCGATAGGGTCTTGGCCTAGCAAGGCCTCTGTTGAGAGTCCCAGCACAGGACCTTGCTCGGCGGGACCTTGGGCGGCTTCTGTACGGTAGTCCAGCATTCGTGAGTACTCCTATCTTCCAGGTCTCCTCCGATGTCCGCGTCCTCATGTAGATGTCCTCTTTTGGCCAGACGGACATCCACTTGAGGTCCGTACATCGACGTAGACTCACCTTCCTCGGATATAATAGATAGTAGGGACCTTGTCCAACGCTGGCCAAGCACCGTCATCAGGTCAGTATCAAAGGTATGAAAGTCTGAGTACTCACCGGCGCCGAACCATATCTGCTCTGTCCAGGGCCGAATGCTGATGGGAGTGCTGTCTCTTCCTCCCCCTCATCCTCTCTATGGCCCAGCCTTGACGGCGGACGCGTCACTATGGTGCGGTCCTGTATGTCTGTCTCACAGGAGTCAGTCTGCAGGACGTCACGGTATTGAACGCGCCCACCTTCAGAACCGGCTTCATGGCGCCTCCTCCTTGCGAAGCGGTGACGGAGCGACGAGAAGATAGAGCGTACACGGTCGGTGAAGTTCATTGTCTGTCCAGCAGATGATGAACTGAACCGTTTTTAATATAGAAAACGGTAGACTCACTGTCCTCGGCGAGGGCAACAATGCTACGATGGTGATGGATGGGTTAGACGGGCCATCCCTGCCCTCCTCAGCTGCGTAGATATAGGCTAGGCCGGCCAAAGCGTCGCAGTGGCGTCTGCTTCTGAGCCACAGGCCACAGGCGTCCAAGCGTTGGCGAACAGTGTCGAATGATCCTGGGACGCCACTGCGTGGTCAAAGCGTAGGCGCCTGATGCGCTTTGGCCGGTGACTGGTAAGGATATGTCGATGCGTCTTCTATTATGCAATGTTACCATTCATAAATCAGGCGCGTTATGCAGATAAAATTGCCATTGTGTTTGGAGGGTATCAAGTACATATACATATACGGATAAATTATGAGCGGTAACATTACTGGACGTCTTGAGTTGGATTGAGTCTTCTCTGGAATTGTTCATCATTCGAGTGCACTCTCAAGCTCGCCTTCCAAGTCTCTGATTACTCGCTGTAAGCCACCGTGGGTCAGATTTACCCTTTGTCGAAGAAGTGAACTTATACTCACCCACGCTTGGCAAGGTAAATCCATTGGCTCGACGTGCTGTGTATACAGCGCAACGATATCCTGGTGGAAATTACATCAGGATCGTGCATATCCCACCACGACTTATACTATGCGTTACCTTCAAGATCTCGTTCTCCCTTGCTGTCCGATGACAAGCAGCACAGCGAGCAGACGCCTGTACATTCCCATCAGCCTTCACACGTCCCTGCGTGCCTAAAGACGCACTCACCCTCCTCATCAGCGGCTCCCCCTCCGCGCCTCTCGAGCCCATATACACCAGCGTAAGGCCCCCAATATTCTGCTCCGCCCTAAGGACCGCGCTCTGATTGTCCAGTATCATCTCCCGCGCGCCGCGCAGCTGCAGCAGCACGTCCTGCTCGAGGCTGCCCAGCAGGTCGCGCGAGCGGCTGAGCTGCGCGCGCAGCTCTGCGAGCTCGGTCTGCACGGTATGCAGCCGCCGCTTGAGCGTTGGCCGCCGCCGCGGGGCGGGCGGCGCGATGTTGAGGACCTGAGGGATGCTGGGGGAGTAGACGGGGCGCGGGAGCTCGATGAGTTTGTCTTCGAGGGTGTCCTGTGCGTGTGCGTGCGCTTGGGCCGGGAGGTCTTCTTCTGAGATTGCGGGGAGGGGGGAGGCGGCGGTGCTGTGCTGCTCGAGGATCAGTTGGTTGGCGGGGGCAATGGTGGGAGGGTGCTTACTGAGGGATGGCCGCAGAGGATGTACTCGGACGCTGGGTGCGGGTGGTGGACCTTCTCTTCCTCTTGCGGTAGCTCGGACGAAGGCTCGGGTGCCTCGAGTTCCTTCTCATTAAGTGCTGCGTTGTCTGCTTTCTGTCCTGAAGCTATGCCCAAGAATCGCACGAAAGCCATGGAAGTCGGAGGTGTCGCGTCGCGGGATGTGAGGGGTTGTAGAAGTTGGGCAGTCAGGTAAGGTTGTATCCCTGACGGATATTTATCTGTGGTGTCTGCTTTTACTCCACCTACGCGTCTCAGAATGACGAGGACCTCATTAAGATGACATTTAGGAGCGGCCATGAAAGGATGGAGAGAAGTTTGATGGGAAGACGACGATAGTTGAGAATCGCGAGATGGTGTGAGACTTGGGCCAGTAGTCGTGTGGACTTCGCGGAGGGGAAGCGAGTAGGATGGTATCCGGTGGGCCGTCCGCCTGAACTTGGCCACCTCCATACTCGCGTCGGTGATGCCGTATGAACGAAGCAACGCGACCAAGGATGCTGAAGGACCAGAAGGAAGACTCGCGAAGCTCGATCTCCTGTGGCTGGCAACGCGATCAATTATGGCACGTATTATACACTAAGAGAATACACATTCTCGCGCAATCCTAGAGTTCTCGCAGAGACTCTTGCAGGTCATTCAGCTGCCTCTGAATCCTAGCGAAGTTGGCCGCGCTCCGATCTACCAGACGCTTCGCCTCGTCGAGCTCTCCGAACAGCTCGGCCATCTCCTCGCGCAACCAGATTCCCTCGTCTTTGATGAGCTGCCGCCGCATGCTAGCGACCCACCGATTTCTGGTGTACGGGCGGGGCATCGGAGCGAACTTAACTTTCCGATTTGCCTTGTGAGTACGATGTACGCCTGTGACCTTCTTGGTGGCCACAACCTGCTTGTGGGTCGCTTGTACAAGCTGAAGCCTCGTCATTCGCTGTTCCAGGGAATCTTCTGGCATATCTTTAGAAGCCACAACTTCAGAGTCCTGTGAATAGGTGAGCGGACGGACGTATCAACTTCTGACAGTAAAGTACTTACAGCGGTGCCTGCTTCCCCTGTATCTTTGTTTTCCTTGTCCGACTCCTCTCCCGTGCTGGATGCTGTGGAGAGCCACAATCAGCAATGCAAGCAGGTGTCAGGCATACTATGCATACCAGTCGTGACATGTGGCTGAACCACACCCCAAGAGCTAGACTCCGGGGATAACTGGGATGGCAGAGTGGAAAGATTGCTTGCGGTGCACATCATGTACAGAGTAAGAGTGTAGAGTGCAACGAATGTGAGTACCGGAGAGCTCCCAGAGCCGCAATATATGAATCGCTGGTCAAAGCGCGAGTGGCGAGGCCATGGCTGAGGTGAAGATTGTGGCAAGCCGCCGCGGACTCGAACAATGAACAGCCATCAAGCCACAATTAGAATGCTCGCATGGACGCACAACTTCGGTTGGCTCGACGCTTTGTGCGTATTCGTGAGTTTCGTGCATATGTTGGCGTTCGCATAGTGGCATGAGGGCAAGGCGAATCGCTTGTTCAAAGCGTTCAGTAGAAGTGATCGGGTTCGGCTAACTTTCGGACCGAAAGCCGTTTCAATGCCGGGGGTTTGTAGCTACGCGTCGAACGCTTCAACGTCGACTTTGCACACCGATGACGGTACATCCAAGGAGTCGAATATTCCCTCGTTGTGCGACCTCTGCAGCTGCAACTGGGGCTACTTCTCCCAGCAAATTGGAGAATCACCCCTTGCGACTGAGGACTTCTTCGTGAATTCGGGGTGCTGACCAGCCGTCATGCGGGGTATACTGGATTCTTCTGATCATGATGTGCGCTATGTACGAAAACACCAAACATAACTCAAATACCCGATCTATATCTCCTGGTGCTCGGTCGAACTCTGTATGTTGACGGCCCGGTGAAGCACCTTATTTTGTCCTGGGAGGGCTTGCCGTACGGAGCAGTCATAGGATGCGACTTCTGTCCAGATTTGCTTCAGATGGAGTCCTTACGTCCCTCTTTTGCACGAGTGCAGGCGATCATCAGATACAGTTTGAGCGCACCGTGAGTTACGGCAGGGTACAGCCAAAATCCGCCGAAGATATATAAAAGCTTGGTTGTAGCTCAAGGACGAAGCGACCAGCTTGTCCATACCTGCTCCGGTCATGTTCTTGACAGCTCTAGTGGGCCTTGCGCTGTACTCCTCAAGCCTGCCGCTCGTGTACGGACTGGACGATGGGTCCGGAGTGGGACGTCTTCCAGCTCTGGCATATAACAGTGAGTATACGCCCAAGCTTCACCTACCATAAGATCCGACACTGACCATTTTCCTGTTAGCCTGGAATGCCTACCAATGCAATATCGACGAGGACCTGATCGTCACCACGGCGCAGCTCATGGTGTCCCTCGGTCTCCAAGACGTCGGGTACAACCGCGTGAACCTGGACGACTGCTGGGCCATGAAGAACCGGACAGCCGATGGGTCCCTGCAGCCTGGTAATGATTGTCTATCGTGATCCGAGCCGTCGAGGCGATCAATTTATGCCATTACAGATACCACGCGGTTTAGCAAGGGCTTCAACTGGCTAACGGATCAACTGCATTCTATGGGATTGTGCGTACGACACTTTTGACTATCCTCTAATATTCTTGAACCCGCGCATGCTTCCAGCCAAGCTGGTATAGTGCGTATTCCACAAACAGATCTGGTATCTCTGCGAATGACAACGGTTTACAGTATAGCGACTCTGGTTGGCTGACCTGTGCGGGCTATCCGGGCTCCTACCAAAACGAAGCGAGGGATGCAGAGACGTTCCAAGACTGGGGGTTTGACTATCTTAAGTGGGTCTTCTCCGCTGCGCATTGTTCGTTGAATATATTTCTGTGGAAGATATGACAACTGCTACAGTAAGTGACATGCGACTGGGTGACGAAGATAGCTTTGAACTCTTGTCCTTGTCAGTTCCATTCGACGACGTACTGCGAGAGGGCGTTTATGGAAGTACGTATTCGACAGAATGTGAGCGCCTTGGGAAGACGTATCGACTCACAATGGTCTTGTAGAATATCAACGCATGTCGGGCGCCCTTGTCAACCTCTCGAAATCTACCGGCCAGCCACCGTTGCTCTTCTCCCTCTGTGAGTGGGGATGGGTGCGTAATAAGGCATTGCTTGAGGTTCATGGTATCTATCAATACTCGTTTATGTTCTACAGGACCAAGTATGGTTGTGAGTCTCCGTCTCTCGACTTCATGTCCCAGCGTGCGGGGGTTGATGAAATATTTGCAGATGGGGTGCTTCAGTTGGTCATAGCTGGAGGGTAATCATTCTCACCCGACCCTCGATTGCGCGAAAGGTATTGACACTGGTTCCTGGATAGACGACTGGTGATATTTCGCCAAGCTGGGACTCGCTTGCCAGTATCATAAACACGTGAGTGACTGGGCGAACGCAGAACTAGACAGTTTATGTATGTCCATCTGCCGTACAGGAATTCCTTCATCACGCAAGCAACGAATTTCTACGGGCGGAATGATATGGACATGGTGAGTCGATATTAGCTTTTGCTCTGGGGCTCCGTATTGAGTGCCCACGGGTACTAGTTGCAATTGTATGTGGCTGTCTTCTAATCCGAACGCGACGCTAACGCTACGCAGGGGAAACGGGAATATGACCTTCGACGAGGCAAAATCCCACTTCACCGCGTGGGCGCTGATGAAGTCCCCGCTGATCATTGGTACCAACGTACGTCCGAAGGCATATGGGCTGATGAAACGACTTGTTCACGAGTCTTGTTTAATCCAGTTGTCGGCGATCACCAATGAGACGCTCGAGATCCTCACTAACAAGGAGATCCTTGCGATTAACCAAGACCCGGTGTACGGCACGTCGATATCACCTTTCAGATGGGGCGTTAACGTGAGGCACTGTAATACCCTTCAAACCTTTTCGGGGTGTCTGATCTATGTCACAGCCCGACTGGGTGAGCAATGCTAGCTACCCGGCTCAGTACTGGAGTGGCCAGTCGCAGAACGGGACGGTGTTCATGCTGGTAAGTAGAAGTAGATGAACTCGTCGGAGGATCTTGTGGTAACAATAATTATTCCAGTTGAACACCCTCGACGAGCCAGCCGACATGACCTTCAACCTCACCGAGTCTGCGTGGATCCGTGCTGGTATCCAATATAACGTCCGAGTCTGTGCTCTCTCCAGTTCTCGCATCGTAACGTAGCACTGAACTTGAATGCGCTAGGATCTGTGGACACATACAGACAACGGGACTGCGATAAGGAGTTTCACGGCGACCGCTGTGCCCCCGCACGGGGTCGTGGCGCTTTTGTTGACGGAGGCGGGCGACGAGCCGGCGGGGCTTTGGCCGCCGTGTGCGGGCGCGGCGGACAGTCAGTGTTCGACGCCGAACGGGACGCACGTGGAATGACTGAGGGAGGTGTGTGTACTCATGGCTCAGCACTAGGCTCGGGCATTCTGGCATCTTAATGCGAGCCACTTCAAACATGTCGTGTTCAGCGAGGTGGTCGGATGCTCAGGTACATGTAATCAGAAAAACTGGTAATAGCGGTATTTTCAATGGCATTGATACAAAATGAATTCGCTGGACAGGGGTGGCTTAGAATGAGTTGTAAGTTTCAAACTGAGGGTCCGTTCAATTACAGGTTACAATTGTGGCAATGACGCCGCAGTGCCAAACAGATGCATACATAGGTGTGTGAGTTCCGCCGGCAACAGCGCTAATTATCCGAGGCACTTGAGCTTCATACAAGGCTTGTTATCTACTACTGCATCGTGAGTGTCCTTCAAGAGGGCGAGTTCGAACGGGCCCGAGCGTACGTTTGATCCATCGCTTTGAGAATCCTCGTAATAACATCTGTATTATTTGCTGCTATAGAAATTGAAGTCCACCGGGCGTACACCATGCGTGGTCCGTAAGCCCAAGTTCGCGTGTTCAGAATGAAGAATGAACATGGTTATTAGGACTTGTTGCCTACGGAGACGAATCAGGCAGCGAAAGCGAAGAGAATAAGCCCTCCTCCTCCAGAGATCGTGCTTCACTTGATGTGAGAGTCTTCATCGCCGAGCACTCCCATCGCCGTTTCCCTCTTTGCTGGCTGTCTCTTCCGTTTGGGCCAGGATCCTCACATTGGTTCGCCTGATGGGTCTCGTGTGAAATGTTAGCCATTTCTCGCATCTCCAAGGACTTTGTCAGTGTTGCTCATGGCCTGATTCAGCCCGGAAAGACACGCAAGTCCTGATACGGCGGCAAGCGCCTACGAAAAGCCATGTTCGGGCGCATAAATTGAATGACATAGAGGGATCAGAGACACCACAGAGGTCGTTGTCCCCGATGGACTTGGAACAGCGGTCGGGCCCTTCGTCCATTGCAGATGCATCCAGTGAAGCAGACGAACTATCCCGCATACGGCATTTACTACGTCCACCACCGATCGCGGGAGTAGCTGACTGGGGTATCCCGCCTGAGTCGACGGAACCGTGTGATCCAGGCATTCAGGTTTGCGGTGGTCCCTCTCAGCGTCCATGCTGAAATCGAACGTACCTGCAGGCGAAGGTTGCCCAGTTCATCGCTCTGAAGAAGGATCCCCAAAATCCAAAGCATTTCAATGACTCGCTGATGTCTAACCGATCGTTCAGGAATCCGCATCTGTATGCCAAGTTGGTGGAGTTTGTGGATGTCGATGAAAGAGTCACGAACTTCCCGAAGCATGTATGGGACCCGAGTGATGTGAGGGAAGACTGGTATGCAGACCGAATCGGTGCGTCACTCTGTTTCACCGCCGTCAACTCCTGTTAATTCCAGCGTTGGCTTGGTCTGCTCTGGTACTTCGCACCCTCCGTCATCAACGGCACATATGCATGGCTCCTTGCATTTCGCATGCTCGACACCTTCCACTCTCTGTGACGACTTTCATTCGTTGGTGAAGCTGAGTACCAGAAAGCCCGGTCGGAGCAGCAGGCTTCATCCCAGAACTCCGGCAAGCGCTCTCAGATTGACTTCACCTCCGGGAAATCAAGCGCCCCTCCCTCTGGTCCGAGGAGCGCTAATCGACATCAAGGTGCTAAGGACAGATATCAGCCGTATGGAGGGTTGCAGCACTCGTATGGAAATGGTCTTGGGGAGGGTGGGCACAAGAAGCCGCGTGAACGCAGTCGTTGGGGTTAATGTTCATGTGGTTACTCTACTGCCCATCTTGGTACTCCACTGTTCAATATATAACGGTTCTGTACACCAGAATTGAATAGATCCCTGTAGCAGCGTCGTAGCCTGTGCTCTTGGAATAGTCGACCTTTCTACTACTGAATGTTTGCGTATGTGGCTGTGGCTGCAGGATCAATGCGCCTCTTGTTCTGGACCACGACCAGCCTCCTGCTGCTCATATCGTTCTTTACTTTCGTTTCTACCGGATCATTTGCGACAGAGACCGCTATCCCGCAGGACGCTGCTCGTGACTTCTTTACGAGGCATGCTGGGCCAGAAAAGACGTCGAATCATACCAACAACTGGGCAGTGTTAGTATGCTCGTCCCGGTACTGGTTCAACTACCGAGTACGCATACATTTGGTTCTTCTTATGAGCTTATCTCAAGCGACTGTTTAGCACATGGCAAATGCTCTTGGAATGTACGCGATCCGTGTGTTCGTTGTTTATACAGCTGTATTAACCGACTAACGCAGGTATCGTACGGTTAAGAGGCTTGGGATACCCGACTCGAATATCATCCTGATGCTGGCGGACGACGTTGCGTGCAACGCGAGAAACAAGTTCCCTGCCACAGTGTTCTCGAATCAAGGGCGGAGCTTAGACCTGTATGGGGAGAATATTGAGGTGGACTACAGAGGGTACGAGGTTACCGTCGAGAACTTCATCCGAGTCTTGACAGGCAAGTGGATGATATCATGCTATCTGTAGAGCGAGGGAGCTGATTGGAGTGGTCCAGGCCGAATGGACTCTTCCGTCCCTCGATCGAAGCGACTTTTAACGGACGACCGGTCTAATGTCTTCGTTTACATGACCGGTCATGGCGGAAATGAGTTTCTCAAGTTCCAGGACAACGAGGAGATAAGCGCATTTGACATCGCCGATGCGTTCGAACAGATGTGGCAGAAGAAACGGTGCGCTTCCGTCGTCAATTCAACGCCCCTTCTAGGCTCACATCAATGGACAGGTATAATGAGATATTCTTTATGATCGACACCTGCCAGGCCAACAGTATGTTCTCCAAGATATATTCCCCCAACATCCTGGCGACGGGTTCGTCCGAAGTCGGGGAGAACTCCTACTCTGTAGGTCGTTACTCGTCCGGCTTTTCGCTGTGCTGAGACGGCCTAACCCTCACAGTACGAGAATGACAATGACGTGGGCGTTGCCGTCATCGACACCTTCACGCACTACGTTCTGCAATTCATGGAAGGGATCAACAAGACCAGCCAGCTGACCATGCAGGACCTCGTACGTTTGACCGCTGCACGCCCTCTTAGTGCGGCTCGTCTGATGCAGTTTAAAGTTCAACACGTTCTCGTTTGATAAGATCAAGTCAACACCGGGGGTGCGCTCGGATCTGTTCGGTCGTCCGCTGGACCGCACGCTCATCACTGACTTCCTCGGCGGAGTTGCGCAAGTCGAGCTGGTGGACGAGGATGCGTCGGCCGAAGAGCCCTCTTTCTCTGCCGATAACTTCTCAGAGCCGGAGTCACCGAGTGACGAGATTTTACTCGCGGTGGAAGCAGAGTTACGCTCGGGGAATAACATCAGCAGGGGAGACCGCACCCCTACTACAGCAACGAACGTCGACTCTTCCTGGTACGGGCTTGTGAAGGTGCTGCGTGCGTGGGGTTCCGCAGCCGTAGTGGGAGGGCTGATCGGATGGATCGTCACGTCCCGGTGAAGTAGGCGAGGGGAATCTCACCCAGGTGATATGCTGTACTGTTACTACATTCCGATAATCGCGATTGGGGTCTTTTAGATGGTTCGCCATGCAACTGGTATACATACTGCAGCCTTACTTCGAGGCGTCGTGCCTTGAGTTCGATGGGTGACATCGGATTCACGGCAGTTCATGACATTTACGCAGTTTCTTCGGAGGGCATGTCACGGACTTCACTTCACGAAAAGCAGGATACTTCGGGCCATGAGGAGGTCCTGAATGACATGGTCGAGCTCCATTTCCTTGAGGTCAGTCTCTTGCACATTGATATCCCTGTTGCGATCTATGTCTGTCCTTCATTCGGTTGGCGTTGAACTCGTGGTATGGCAGGAAAAGCGGCGAGCATGGATTCATCACAGACTCGCGTCAAGGCATGCAGTTATGCCAGCGACCACTCGCCCCTTGACTTAAGTTTGGTCCCAGACTCCGGATGGGAATATCTTCGACATAAGAAGCTAAGCTAAGTGTGTTGAGGCTTGAACTTACTGTCGAGTGTATCCTATCAGGCGACCCAGCCTGGATTGTATTCTATGATTTCCGAAGGAGCGGCCTGTGGTCAAGATCCGGAACTTGGTCTACTGTGCCCTGGCATCGCGCGTAGGATCAGCACCGTGAAATAGCGTGAGGACACACACGGTAGTGAATTGCGCACTATCGTAACAGAGTGTCGGAGTCATACGCGAGTTATCCGGGACACAAGGGGCGAACTTAACCTTCCCGTTTCTGTCGGTACCGCAACTTCCAGACTGCCTATGGAAGAGTGGCGCCTGAGTTCGACTCCTATAGCACTCCAGCCTCAACCAGTCCATCAATATTGTGATGCGGCTCTGAGAGTCTGCCGTAGCGCGCGTTTCTTAAACGCCGACCTATCCATAGAATCGCGCGTATGAGGGAGATAATACGGTAGTTATTGAACGGTAAGCCGCGATATCGGGATGGTCAGCGTCAAATTAGCTCTGCACGGATGAATACCAAGTCAGAAGCGGAAAACCACCGTGAAGTGCAAACGGGCCCGAAGACGCCAAGAGTTGAGTCAGTCAGAGAAGTGCAGGTGAGTTGAACTGCGTACAGTCCGTATAATGTGGCTCGGGGCCTTGTAAGAGTTGACCTTTTAAATAGTGGGTCCTTTTGGTGGGTATTGTCATCTCCCGCATCACCATACCAAAGATGTCGCAGTACGCACACCTTTCGGACCCTGATCCAGAGCTCTTGGCTGCCTTCAATGCATGGACAGGTGATGCGCGTGATGCAGTAGCAAGCTTCACGACTATAGCTTCTGCGAGGGAGAAGGCCAAAGCGTTCATCGGTATGATCATGGATTACCACCGACCGCATCTCCCCCCTGGTAGGTTTCGTCAGACGCGATCAGTACATGAAATAATAGCTCACAACTCCGTCTGGTGCAGATGAGAAGTACAGGATGGAAGATCACAAGCTTTCGGTGTTTGGAGGGGAGATTACAGTTAGAGTATTGACTCCAAGGAATGCAGACAACTCACATGAGCAAAACTCCTTCCCCCTGCTGCTCTGGATGCATGGCGGAGGTAGGTACATGACCCTGGTAAAAAGCACACGGCGTAAAACTGTAGAGAATAGGCTGGGGGGTCTCGAACATAGACCAGGACGACTTCTACTTAAGGAGAATATGCGTCGACCTACAAATCTGCATTCTCAATGTGGACTACAGGTTAGTATCCTGTTCTCCTTTATTTATTTCTTATTGATTGTATGGCGCGACAGGCTCGCTCCCGAGTATCCGTTCCCGACCGGCTTGGACGATTGCTACTCTGCGCTCAAATGGGTACGTCTCTGTACCAGCCTCAGGACGAACGTGCCTGATAGGCCATGCCGCCTCGCACACAGGCAGCTGCCAACTCGTCCTTTTTCAATGTTGATTTGTCGCGAGGATTCCTCGTTGCAGGTCAATCTTCTGGGTCCAACTTCGCCGCCGCGATAGCCCACCGAGCCGTTGCGGACCCATTCTTCAGCGACAAGCCTGTCACGGGACATGTCCTCCAGCTTGCCTTGGTGTGCCATCCTGACGCATATCCCCCTGAGTACATCAGTGACATACTGGAGTTTCACTATACATACTCATTGGGAGTAGGTGTAGATTGGAGATGATCTCGATGGAGCAAAACAAAGACGCTCCATTTCTTAGGAAAGAGCACATGCTAGGGGCATGGCGTATGTCTTGGCATCAGTTTCGGGACGCGGTGTGCTGACTCCTTCACTAGACAGATACGGCGGCTCTCCAACCGATCCCGACGTATCACCCCTCTTGTACAAGCATGAAGGCCTCTCGCCCATGTATGCCCAAGTCTGCGGATGGGACGTTCTGCGTGACGAGGGCCTCCTTTACGAGAAACTGGTGAGAGAAGCCGGGGTGCACACCAAGGTCGATGTGTGAGTCAGCCCGTTCTTGGCTGAATATCGTCGCCGGGATGCTGAAGCGATAAATAGATACCCCGGAGCATTCCATGGGTTCTCCTGCGCATTCTCGGACGTTCGGCTTGGTGTACGCTTCGACAGGGAATTTAGGGAAGGCATCAGATGGCTTTTGAGCTTAAGCAAGAAAGACGTGCAGCAGAATTATGGCGTTACTGCTACTGTCGTAGATGACTTACCTGGATAGAACAAGTAACGAAGTATCTGACTGCGCACTGCTGCAGACCCTGATGTGCTTGCCAGTAAAGAACACCGAATAAAGAGCAGGTATGTCTTCTATTCGCCTGCAGCTATATCATCGTATGTTCTAAGGCCGCAGATGCGGACCCCGTTCATCAGCCAGAAGTCGTCCTCAGACACGAATTTCTCCTGCAACCGGACAACTATAAGCGGATCCGGCCAGTGATGCAAGCAGAATTCTCCATCCTCTCGTTTATCAACGTCCCACATACGGTCGTTCACGCCCACTGTGGCCAGGGAAGCGATGTCTGCGGCCAAGTCTACGGCCAGGAAGGGATGAAATCGTCGTACGTTGCCGATGTACAAAAAATGGAGGTTGAGGAGCTCGCGAAAGCGGTCCAGCTAAAACACAATAAGTGTTACGATCGGCGTAACGATATGGTCCAGGCTTACCAAGGGCTCAGTGTGGCAATCTATGCGTTCAAAGGCAGATATCAAACGCAGAGATGATAGATTGTTCGGAAGGCAATCAGAAAGTCGTCGGCATTGTTCATCAGTCCACTTCATGCTGCTGACATCACTGTTCCAGCCTGCGCAACCCAAATTGAGGCCAAGAACGCTGATAGGACTCTCGCGATTTAATATGCCAGCTAATGTCACGATTGGGTCATCATGGAAGGAGAAAGCGAGGTCTAATCGGCGAAGAGCAGTCGAGTTCCGTATAGTGTGTATCAGGGGCAGTAGCTCTTCCTGGGTGAATGCTACCTCAGCCTCTAACCTTAGAGATTGCAGTTGGGATAAGGCCGAAGAGTGTTCTTGCAAGAGCGTGAAAAGGGCCGGACTGTCACTGAACACCGACAAAGATCGCAGTGAAGTCAAGTGATGGAGGATTAAGCCCAGCCAGGAGAATTGCTCGCCAAAAAGGGTGTAAAGATGCAGATGCGTCAGTTGAGACAGGGTAGGGATGGGCAAACTGACCGCCCGCCAGCCCTCGATATCAAGTTTCCGGAGAGTGTTCTGATTGTTGCGCATGAGCTCCTCCAGCGAAGGGCGTGAGGACGGGTCGACCGTCTGAAACTCTTCCGGAAAATGTTCATCCTCCACATCCTCTCCATCGGCGCAGCAGATGAATGTGCTAAGATGTCTAAGACCTCGAAGGAGGGTCACATGCTTTTCCGAGTCCAGCAAGTACCTTGTGCGTTGGTAGGGGGATCGTAGGGATAGATAAGTGTTCTGGAGAGCGGAATGACGGGGAATCTACGAATCACATACCTTGGTAACCTGAGTTCTTCCAGTTCTGGACACGTATGAACTAGAACAGCGACGATGTCATCAGCGACGGGCGGCCATCCTCCATACCAATGGAAGGCTTTGAGGTGTCCGACGTGGCGCAGCGCTTTCTCCAAGCAGTCTAAGAACGTATAATGAGATCACTGCGCGGATACGGCTACACGACTCCATACTGACTCTTTTCAAATATGAAAGGCCCATCACTAAGGTATATAACTACAACTTTCCTAACGGAGGCAGCGAATCTTGAGTCACTGGTAATCCGGTCAAGAAGCTGCCAGCTCTCGTCATACAGCCTCTTCTCATAGTCATCCGTCTCCCTTCCTCGAGTAAGCCAGACGTCAGGTCGGAGCTGGTCGAGGAGGGTTGTGACGCCAAAATATAGAGTCACAGTCGAGAAGAGGTGTCCGAGTGCAATATCGTGCATTCTGCGACAGACTTGCAGGCAGCTCCGGAGATCAGCTTTAGGAAGATACCATATTACCTGATCCCATAGCTCAATGGGCAAGAACACCATAGGGACAGTAGGTAGTCAGAGATGAAGCACGAGCAGGCGATTGTGAATATGGCGTGGGAGTTTTGTCCAGAGGGACACACTTCGCAGGTTTCTATTACTCGAGTAAATAATGACCCATGTACATATTGTGGCTTTATTCAGAGTTGTGAAACGTATACAAAGCTGTCTGGACTATAGAAAGCTTCAGAGGACGTGTCTTTGCTAACCCCGCATCCACCGCCCACTGGATATACCACGCCCGACAAATACTGAACCAGACGAAAACCCACACATAGCCGAAAAATCGCGGACACCGCTTTTTAAGGCCCACTCGGCTCGCGAAGGCAATCACGGCGTCCTCCAACGTAATTGCCACTGCCTGAGCGAGAAAGAACGGGAAGGATGCACCGAGGTATTGTTTGCCCACCATGGCGTCCCCGCCGATGTGCACCAGACCCGATACAAGGAAGCCGACATATAGCTGGATGTACGAGGAGCTGGTAGTACCCCTCTTACACCCAAGGGTTTGAGCGGAATATCTCCCGATGGAGGAAGTGTACTAGTGAAAGTGCAATAAGGGGTGTCGGCTTTCACTTGTATACAATTGATTGAATGAATAACTTACACGACGCATGAGTTGGTGCCAGGTGACTCTAATCCATATCGTTGGATTGGAGGGTAAGTTAGGGGGTTCTCTTCCTTGAGTAAGATAAAGCGTACCCCCAGTGCCGCCTGACTGTGTAACACTCCTTCCAATCTCCAAACAAATCAGGCCAATACCTTGGCTCCGATACGCCTGAAGACACACAGAAAGCCGAGAGTGCCAAATATTGCATGTTCAAGGAGCCATGTGCGAGGGTGAGCCACGCGATAATATTAACGCAACGGCAGAAGTAGCCCTGGGAGTGAATATCGAACGGTGATGCTCCGGGTCTGGGGTTGGTGAATAACGGGTTTGAGTGAATATAGGTCTGAGCGAAGTCCACCAGAAGGTAGAACGTGAACGCTCGCAGCAGCTGCCTTGCTACGAAGCGCCAACGTGATTGAGCCGAAGCTGGCGGTACATTTGCAACCTACTCAAAAAGAGATGTTTAGGGTTTAAAATCTTTGTCTGGCGGAAACGGAAGAAAGAGGGTCGAGTCGCACCTGATAATTCCATCCCACACCCCGAGGGCTATATAAGGCGCACAGCGTCCAATACCATCGTTTCAAGAATGGTAAGGACGCCAAGTGGGTGCTATCCTTCTCAAGGGAGAAGTCAGATACGGGATCCGTCAGCCAGAGCATATGTATGGCAGTCGCGAGGTCGCTGGAGATCGCAGATCCCATAGAGTAGTCACGCAGGCTATCGCCGGTGGACAAAGTGAATCCCTTCACGAGAGTAAAGGAGTACGCGACGAAGCAAGCTAGTCTGACATGCGGTTTCAATTGGAGCGCAATGACAAAGGAGAGGCATATGTTGGGCAAGAGGAGATTGCGGAGGATCGAGAAGGAGCCTGTGACATTGGGGAGATCGGTGGTCAAGAATGAGGAGGGGGAGCTGCCGTTGTGAACGAGCAGTTCATCCATGGTATACTATAGAGCGGGTGAGATGTATCCTGACTTCGAAGAGCGTTCGGTCGTTATCTACAACTTCTCTGTCAGTGTTATAATGTGGCTCGGCCCAGCAGCCTTGAGTAATTTCTGCTGACCATCTCTGGTAATCCGATCAGCTAGCGAAATGTGCATATCCTTCCAGGGATGGGCCTTCTCATGCGAGATTACATCTTTACGGCTTCGTGCCACGGCGAGCGTTCTGGTTGGCAGGTATCTTCCACAGCTTCCTTCAGAAAGGGACGATAATCAAGCGTCGGATTTTAAGGGCGATTGATTGATTAATGGAAGAGAAAACGAAGACAGTGTATTTACTTACCAGTCTCAGGCTTATCCAGTCATGCCTTCTGTAGAGTAACATTGTACAACCAATGTGCAGTGTCCTATGTACTACTGAGTCATCGCAGATTCAGAAGTGGAGATGTACTTCACTCACACCAGCTATGACGTCGGATGAGACAGCTCCTGCATGCCGATAGAGAAGAATATGGGACCACAAACGTTCAATTCCATGATTGACAGGTGCTTGGAAGTCTATCATACGACGGCGGCTATGATTCTCGGGCCCACCCTATCCACCCGAGTGACGCCAAAAGCGAGACGCCTTAGACTTGGGACTACGCCCCAAGACGCGAGACCAAGGGGTCTTGCAAACCTTATTTTGCCACCCCACCTGAACGCCCCCCCTGGGTACCCCACCTCGTCCCCCTTGACTTCAACGCTCGAGCATCGGTCTACACACAGTACACGTCACCGCCTACGCTAGTATAATAAGGCCGTCCGCTACTCTGCTCGACACCCCGTCCTCGCTGTCTTCCCTGTCAACCACCATGCCCTTGCCGCTTCCGGCAGCGGTCCGGGTAGAAGTCTGGTAGCAGACCCCAACCCTAGGGCGTACCGCCACGTGTCTGGTGACACAGGCGCGCCGCTTCTTCGAGGCTGCGTCCCGCCTTTCCGGCACCTCGTCAGTAGGCCCGTCGTCGTCGTCGCCGACGATGAGCATAGCTATAGTACTTGTATGTAGTCATAAAAACATGGAATAAATTTCATTAAATACAGAAAATTCATGCTATTGCATTGACATGTACGCGGCGTCACTTAGACGCTCCGATCGAGCGTCATCGCCGTCAGGTTGTCGTG